CTATTTGGATTCTTTTTTTTCTGTTTTTTGTCTGTACATTTGACAGCTTTGCTGCCTTGTTATTGATTTATTTCATTTTACTATAATTATTTTGTTTTTTTAGGTGAGATCCCTGGAGAAGGAAAGAATTCGAGAAGTTGATGTTGGAGCATTGGAATTAGTTGACCATTTCAAACAAAAATTGTTATCAAAAAGGTAAAAAAGTACAGTTTACAATTGCATCTGTTTTTCATAGGTTTGCCTTTTCAACCTTTTAATAATATTGAAATAAGATTTTTTTAGTAATGATATCAGATTGCAATTTTTTTTTGTCATGAAATAATATTTTTAGGTCTATTTTAATGGATATTTTCCTATCTGTATCCAAAAAAATGTTAGTCTATAACAATAAAAGTTTGCAGTTTATTTTCTATTTACTTAACAAGATTAACTTTAATGATTTAAAGTCATGACTGAAAGACTTCCCACTGATGATTTTAATGAATGATGAATGTATATTTACTGATAATAATACTCTTACATGCAACTTACCTTTACTTAAAATAAGCAGGGCAATACAATATGAACTTGCTCTGCCCTAAATGAAATTATCCAAAATTAATTGTTTGTCTTTGTTAGGAGAGAGGAAACGGAATGTATTTTAGTATTTAAGATATGCATACCCAAAATAATATGAAGATAAGACAACCTGAACTTTGTTACTGCTTATTACAGTGAGGCATCAGATACCAACATGACAATTACTGGCAAGATGAACCTCATCAATTCCCAGAATATAAATGAAGAGAAACCTTCCACCAGCAATTTCTCCAGTCTGAATATTACATACTGGTGCCAGGATAATGCAAAGCCTCAAGGAAATGTGAAAAGGAAGTATGAAGCTCAGGTAATAATGTATGAATTTACATCAGAAGTGCTAATGACTAATTTTGAGGTGAAATGGACCAAAGAGATTTTTGTCTTCACTTAGTATATATTTTATGTTATTGATGTAACTGAGAATCCCAGGTACATGTACTGAAATATGAATTTTCATCAAAAATTCTGACTCTTGATGAAATGGGCCGTTTGAATATATAGAGATTTTTTTGTCTTTACTTATCATTACATGTCACATTATTGTTATGTTTTCTTCTGATATGGGGTACATTGTAATTACTTATTTCTTAGATAAGGGCCAAGTTGACCACTCTGACTCAACAATTGGTCTCTAACAAGGTGAATTGGATAGAAGTGATAGCAGTTGATCTCTCCACACAGGTGCTAAAGACAATGGCAGCATATCTTGATGTAGGTAGAAAAATTGAGGGGAGGGGGATAATTTGAAAAATAATTATTTATATAATTTTCAACTTGATTTGTATATTTAATTTCACAGTTCATTGGATTGATCTAACTTCCTGACAGTTATTGTTATTTATGAAAGTATTGATTGTCTTAGCATATTTGAGACTGTAGTAATTTATGTGTTTCAGTTGGAAGATGATGGTGATGCCTTCAATGCAAGTATTGGTACAGTATTACAAGGGTACGTAACCTGCAATTAATTTGACATTAAACCATCATGCAATCAACCTTTTCAACTACAAATGAAGTCTTAGGAAATCTTAGGAATTGCCATGTTTAAACCATTTTTTTCACACTGCCTATTGTATATTTCAAAGAAATTTATTCACAAATAAGTTATGCCCATTACAGGTATAACATTCAAGTATTGTGGTTCACAATATCAATACAATATATCATTTTGGTCATAAGTTGATTTATTTATTTGGTTTTTTATTTATTTATTTTGTGTATCTATTAATATAACCCATTTTGTCTTCCAGTCATGCAAGACACAGAAAGTTTCTCACAAGAGTCTGTGAATACATTTATGAAGTGAAGTTTGATAAAAAGTAAGGATTCCCGTCTCCTTGTTGAATTATAAAACAGAAGTATAACATGTATTGATTCCTTCAAAAACATGCAGAGTTGTAAGCGGATGGTCCAAGCTTGCTCCACCATTTGAATTATGGTTCAGTTGTGAATCCATGTTACTATTTTTAATACATTGATACATGATATAGCAGATGATATAGCAGATTCTTGTATATTTTTTAAAATTATTTTTATATTTTTTCAAAATTATTTTATGTAAAGTCTTTCTACTTCTCAATTTCAGGTGTCCAGTTATTATCCTTTACAGTTTAGTGAATGACTCATACAAGGTCTTGATATGAGATTTAAAGGCAATCAGATAAGAGACAGAGCAAAAGGAACAAAGTAATCAGTATCAATCCAGAAGTTCTGGAACAAAATGTATGAGAATACACTTTTTCATATGAAAATCATAAATAAAATAAATGAATTTTATTAGTATTGTGCTAGTAGTGCAGTTATTACATAAGAAAATTGTTTTTCTGCATAAAGAATGCAGTGAAAGCTACTGGTTTGGTGCTTTCTTTTATTTGTTTTATTTCAGTTTCTTGCACAAACTGTGGTGCAGAAGTTCAGGCTTTATTATTGTCATTCTGAGTGCAGAGTGCAATAGACCTTGCAAAGACAGAAGTATGGATTGCAACCTGGCTTAAAAATTTGAAAAGAAAGAGATAAAATATAAGTTGATGAATATGTGCTGGAAAGACCATGCTTATAGTTTTAGAATGAGTCATTTTAGAAATCCGTCTTACCTTATCTTACCTTATGATAAGTTGAATGTGTCAAATTTATGAATGAAAGATTCTCATATTCACTTCAGTTTATTTCTGTATTGTGGCACAGATTATCATGACCTTGTACAATATAATATAATATTATTAATGTTATATTACAACCACCAAATATAATTTGGCTGAGGCAATCTTGTGATAAAGAAAATGGATCTGAATTCATTTAATATGTATTTTGGCTGGTTGAAATGGGTAAATAATGGAGGGATGAAACAATGTGATGAGAGAACTTATTGTAAGAAGTATAATATCGGTATCTAGTGGTGAGATTATAGGTCTTGCAGCCAGTTATTTGTTATTTAAGCATTAAACTGTTGTTGAATATAAGTTTTTGTTATTGAAAATAAGTGGAAGAATGATTTTCCATCAACCCATGTGGGTTGCATTATTAATCTTATATGAAAGCATCTAAATCTTTCTCATTTACTTTTAAAGTCATCTTTTTTGGTGGAGCTTGAAATACCATAATTCACCATTCATGTCTTTAAATTTTGATTCATGGAACCTGTAGGGGAATAACAAAAATATAGAATTCAGGTGTTAAATCTACGTTATTTTGGATGTTTATAAATCAATGAAATACATTGTTAACTAAGTGTGGTGTTATGAATCTTATTTACGTCCCACTTATTTTATGTTTTTATAAACAATATCTTTTACTTTGTAGATAAATGCAATCTATAGAGCCATGCAAATGATTACACCATCACACACACTCACACACACAGTGATAGAAACTTTGACAAGCTTCTTAGGGAGTATTCATACTCACACATGGTACTAGCTGGATCGGTCCAAGTCTGCAGAGGATTTTCGGGGGTAATTAATGAACTATCATGTGCTGATTAAGCTGATTTTTTTTTTTTTTTTTTTTTTTGAGAATCCCCATCCGCAGAGTTGGAACAACCCAGTTAGTGTGAATCTGAATATGGTCTCAGAGAAAAACGTCTTGAAACAAATTTTATAAGTGAAAGCCTCTCTGATATCCAAGACACTAACTAAAACTAGCATAGAAGATATTTTAATTAATTTGGATTAAAGTAAGATCATTAAATTACGTCTAGTAGCATATTAAACATACAAAAAGACGGCGGTCTTTCAACCGGTGCAACATTCACAGCCGACGTTCAGAGTGGGTTATGCCGCTTGACTTTTTATGGCAGTATCCATATATTGAAAGTTGGCTCATTTCCATAGTAGGTTATCCGCAACTCCAATCTCTTCTTCCTCAGTTCCCTTAAAAATATTTTTGACTACCGCCATCGGCCCCTTGCAAATCCGGTTTCATGTTTTTTCTTTATTGTCAAAATGTTTTTTTTTTTTAGTTTGTTTGTTTGTTTGTTTGTTTGTTTTTTCTTGAATAGAAAATTTTAAATGACTGAGTTTGGGGACGGCGGTTATCACCCGGCTTTGTAAAATACATCGTACCATCACAAATGTCCTCTGCAGACGCAGTGAACCTAAAGAAAAATTGCACTTTGATAATTAAAGTCATCAGCCAGCCAGCAAAATTGTAAATTTTCCTCTTTTTCGCAGTGTTGGGAAAAGTTGTCCCCGATAAACCATCAGTTCAAACAGCATGACACCCCAAGGGAATATCAACCTGCTCTCCAAGAAGCTGAACCAGCCATGAGTACCTCTGGAGTCGTGTTCTTGTGGGGGGCAAAGTCCATAAATCGCAACCTATGGATACTCTGCCCAGCCACATTTGCCAGCTGACTCATGTTGACTGGATCTGTTCAGTCACAGCTGGTTGGTTCAGCCCATTTCTTAGGGGGTTTCAGTTTCAAATCCCAAGGTGGGTAATCACACACAGTAACAGCATCACCCAGCGTCTTAGGGCTCATTCCCATTGAAACTACTGTTGTACGTAGATCGATTTACACGCCCCCTCCCGGCGTCGATTTAAATACAGAATACGAGTACGTTGGGAAAATAAGAGGAGGCGTGTTATTCTACTAACCTGATTGCATTCAGCGATAGTCCCCACGAGTTGGATCTAACCGGTAAGATAGTTTCATTGGGAACATACCCTTATTCTCCTGAGTCTTCTCTGTATAAGTCATGATGGCCGAGTTGGCCGTAAATTGTTTTGCAGGAGGATCGGCTTTGCGTTTTGGACGTTTAAAGGCCAAAAAGGAGTTACCATAACAACGTTCGTTTGGCATTCCTAAAGTTCCAGTCAGAAATTACTCGAAGATGTCTTCTAAAAATGTTCCCCTCCTGTAAAACGGTATTAGTTTACATCCTTGTACAAATCAACACGTGGGGTTTTTATTGTCACTGACAAGAAAGAATGTCTGATTTGGAAAATAATGAGCAGTATGACACTAAGAAAGTGTACTCCCATGCTCGATTGATTCATTTGAAAATGAGCAGGAACAATACAGATAATTTACGTGATCTCGAGGACTCTCCAGAAAGGAGAAACTCGCCTGATTTACACAGCAAACGCTACACACGAGGCAGCAATTTTGCCTTAAACAATTTGAAAGCCAAACATACCAGAGCTTCTAATACAGACCAAGTAATAAAGGAATCTAACGAACCCCGCAATTTCAAAAGCCACGTGCAGCAAACGGAAATAAGTTTACCTCTAGTTGGACGCAGCAAACCAATCCCAATTGAAACATTCCCCAAAGAACTGATGTTTCAATACGACGCATTCAAAACGGCCTAACCGAACTGTGTGGACGAGGAGGACTTAGAAAAGTCAGAAAATTTATCCTCGACTGCTGCTGTCCATGTTGACATTCTCTGTTCTCTTATGGTTCCCGGTGGATACTCCTTCCAGCATTTCTTAGACGGTATTCTACCGAAGATTGCCCAAGCCCTTGATTTATTGCGGAACAAAGGCGTAAAAATCTTGATACGTTTTAGTAGAGATGTAATTATATTGGAGATCTTGGAACTACTTGCTATCGTAAAAGATATGATTCTTTTCCACGCTGGTAGAATTTATGCAGCATTGCAAGGAAGATGATCTAAACTTGTATTACACCGCCATTACACACGACCCTGTGGCAAAATGCACACAAACTCATGAACGCTCCTGAAAAACTCCCTGTACCTCGTGAGGAGGCATATGTCATTTTGTTAACCAGAAAACAGAGTCATAATGGGGGAAGAAACATGCAGAATCAGATAGAAGTTCTAGCATTCCCAGAGAAAAGGTACGGGAAAGACAGAGTAATAGTCTACCCGGGAAAGTACAACCTCACAACATCTGTGAGCGTTTTTGGGCGTGCGCGCGTCCTGATTGGTGTTTACGGAGGCTCCCTCTATAAACTAAATTTTGCCTCTGCCCCAGGGAATTGCTCACACGATCTTTTGGTCTATGTGCAACATGTTGAATCAGTCATATTGGAGAATTTGTAATAAAGCGGAAACACGGAATGGTAACGTAATTGTTGACTTCAACAAATCGGGCCGGGTTTTGGACAGGATTGACAAGTAGTTCTGATATTTTTTAACAAATTAGTATAATTTATTATAGATTTGAAATTGATATCTAAATAAAGACTGCAGAGAAAAAATCAAACTATTAAACGTAATAATAACTGAAATCTGCATTTCCAGTATTGAAAATAATGTTTTTTTTTTAATTTTCTTGAAAACTTTCTTCTCTTTTTTTTAACATGCTTACATGCTTATTCATTTTTGTGAACGTTCTCTGTGCATTTTGTTTCATTATTCTCAAAGTTTTGTGCTGGTTAAATAGTTTTTCATACATGTTTAAGTCGAAATAGAAATAAAATCAAATGAATATAAACCAGGCCTACCCAACTACCAGACTCAGCACCGAATGATAAAGAATTCACCGGCAGATCAGACCACACTACCCGTTTTCAAGGTGTGTGTCAGATCGCATTACACAGTATCAGACGCGACACCGCTCTTGCCAAGTACGCGATGTGATAGTGACGATTCTCAGCGGTGTTGAAAAGCATTGCATCACCACTCAAAATTTGTTCAGGGCATGATACTGTGTAATGCGATCTGACACACACCTTGAAAACGGGTAGTGTGGTCTGATCTACCGGTGAATTCTGGATCATTCGGTGCCAAGTCTGGTAGTTGGGTAGGCCTGTAAACAGAGAAGGATAAATATTAATAAATATATGTTTTCTTTATCCATAACACTGAAACAAAGTAAAGTTAGGCCTACTACACGCTAACAATATTTTATTGGTGAAATACAAGGATAGGTATATGTGAACATCGATTGTATTTGATAGATGCATTGATAGCGCAAATGAGCACCATAATATTTAAAATGCTAAATTATTGTCTTGCTTTTGGCTTATTCTCGGCATCAGTACTAAGAAAATGCCTAAAATGTCGAATTCTAAAGTTATGCTACCACATATAAATTTGCTTTAATAGTAAACACTCTGGAATTAATAATTCGTCCGCAAAGATCAATTATACGCTACATATACACACAATGGACAATAAAAGTGTCCCCCCTACTGAACCAGTACTTTGGGGGAGATAAATGACTGAGAAATGATATGCTCCTGCTATCATTTTATTCACATCAAATTTCACACAAAAAAAATGTAGACCAGGCATTATAACTACTCAAGATCTGCCTAATTTGATTATTGATTACTTGGTTATTATTTGATTACTCTGATTCAGGGGGTGACACTTCTATTGTCCATTGTGTGTACACACACTGGACAATAAAAGTGTCACCCCCAAAATCAGAGTAATCAAAGTAGGCAGATCTTGGATAGTTATAATGCCTGGTCTACTTATAATGTGACTAATGAGTATAAAACCGCTATACCATGGAATTGTATCGTTGGTCTTGTACATGTACAGCAAATGTTATCTAACGATTACAGACGTCAAGTTATTAACGTGAAGAGGCGTAATATAAGCAATGTCAGAATATCGATACAGTTGAATTGTTCAGTCAGAACCGTGCAGAGGGTCTGGTCTCGGTATGGAAACACTGGATCAAAAGACGAATTGCCCCTGATGGGTCGCCCAAGAAAAACTACTGACCGTGAAGACCGACGACTGATTTTGATTTCCAGGTTCTCAAGTTTCGACACTGCTCGTCAGTTGGCAACACAGTGGAACTACTTCACACATAAGAATGTGTCTGCGAAAACTGCTAGGCGTCGGTTACATGCTCAGAGAGTGTACAGCAGGGTAGCAAGACTGAAACCTCTTATATCGTTACAAAACAGGCAACGTAGATTGAACTAGGGCCAACAGGATCTGAAACTGAACAGTCCCTGACAATTGTTCCTATATAGTTTTTCTGGCGAGTGTCGCTTTGGTCTGACCTCTGATGACAGACGGGTCTG